AAAAAAAAAAAAAAGTTTAAAGAGCATCTCATATCATTAGTCTCAGGGAGCTCCCTTGTCTCAGTTGGCCAGTAAGTCTGGACTTTCTAAGCATTTGAGTTCTGTTCCGTGTTTGTCTCTCGTTCTGTTGTGGCCCTGATCAGAATGGTCAGTAGTGGGAGCTGGGCACCATCTAGTTCTTCTGGTCTCTGGGTTGATGAGGCGGTGGCTTGTGTAGCTATTTGCATTGCAGACTAGCTTCCCTGAGACTTTGGTTTCCCTCAGAGCATACTTCAGAGCCCATCACTCAGAGGTGATCACCTTTCAGAGGCAAACCAGCTGTCATCAAGTCCGTTCTGACTCATGGTGACACCGGGTGTCGGAGTAGAACTGTGCTCCTGAGGGTTTTCCTTCTGTTATCACTGTTACTAGGGTGAAAGTGCACAAAGCAGATTTGTTTTCCATTCAGCAGGCCATACATGTTTTGTGCGTGACATTGATTGCAATCCACACATTTCACAACTCTCTCTGCACTTCCTGCCTGTGGTTACCTTTCCCTGTACCCTTCCTTCGTGTACATTTGTGTCCTCTGAGCTTCCTCCCTGTGTAAATGCTTCCCTTCTGATCTCGCATAGTTGATTGTACTAAGGAGTGTACCTGCCTGGTGAAATTGATCACTTTGTAGTCTTGTCAGTTGTTTGGTGGGAAGCCACAGGAGTGAGTTCAGTTGTAAGCCTGAATGGGTGACTAGGGGCCATAGTCTGGGGGGTTTCACCAGTCTCTGTCAGACCAGTAAGCCTGGTCTTTCTGTGATTTTGAGTTTTGTTCCCGATTTTTCTCCCACTCTATCCAGGATCTCTGATTTTGATCCATTTCCAAGTGGTTGGCAGTGGTGGTGGGCCACCATGTACTTCTTCTGGTCTCAGGGTTATGTAGGCTGAGGTTCCCATGGTCCACTAGTCCCTTGAGCTAATTGTTTCCGTGTGTCTTTGATTTTCTTCATTTTTTTTTTACTCTGGACAAGGAGGGATCAATTGCTGCATCGTAGATGACCTCTCACAAGCTTTTAAGGTTCCAGTCACTACCCACCAAAGTAGGATGTAGAACAGTCGTTTTGTGTAGTGTGTTAGCCAGTTGACCTTGCTGTCCCCTGCAACCACGGTCCCAAGCCCACAGGTCCAGCAACTCCCTCCCTCAGGATGGTTGTTTTGGCTGAAAAGTTACCATAACTTTGTCCTCTGTTAGCTCAGTTATATATGTGGACATCCTTATAGCACATACAAATATGTACATAGAAATATATCATCTGCCACATATATATATATATGGTCATGGATGGACCCCTTTCGGCAGCTGACTTTTTTTTTTTTTTAAGAAATATCAAAACAGCAAGAAATAAAGAAGAGCTATCTAGATTTTATTTAAATATGGGGATTTTATTTTCATCATTTGGAAGTCGTTACTTGTGGTACAAAGAAGGCAGCCTGTGTCCCTGGCTGGGCTCTTTATCCTTACCCTAAACTGGCTTTCCTGATGTAAGGTACTCTAGTGGCATAGGCATTTGGCTGCTACCCAGAAGGTTGGTGGTTCAAACCCACCAGCTGCTCTGCAGGAGGAAGGTGAGGCAATTTACTTCTGTAGAGATTTGCAGCCTTGGAATCCCAGTGGGGGGTCACTGTGAGTGAGAATCCACTAGATGACAGTGGGGGGTGGGAGTTCTCATTTTGAGGAAGAATTTTATTTCCCCTCAGTTCCCTGAGGAAAAATATATTTGTCTTTTGTGACTATCTCATATTTACACTTGTCATGTATTATGTTTTACAGCTGAACTGCTCGTTTTCAGCGTTCCCATTGTCTATGAGAAGTACAAGGTGAGCATTTGTTTTCTGATTTCAGGTTGCCACGTGTATGACTGGTTTTAGTTCCTGTTTTCAGGCATTGGTAGTTCAGAGCAGTCTTTTTATAACTATCATTTCTATCATCTAACTGCTCAAGCCAAAGAAACTCGTCATAGTGGTTTCCCCCAAGGGGTAAAAGTAGCTATCTGGGAGGTAACTCCTGGAAGGAGACTGACTTCTGGTAACTTGTGTGCCCTTGGAATTTTTGTCACATGGATATATAATCTATTCAAAAATATAATTTAAAATATTTAAATAAAACTGTGTGTTTAGAGTAAACTGTTCACACCAGAGCCCTCAGGCTTACAGCAGCCCGACGCCATCCCGTGATGGGCACGGGGGACCCCCGAGCAGCGGGGCAGTGTCCCCCTCACCTTCTCAGTGTGGACCTGCCTGCGTGAGCACCGGGAGACGCACCCAGGCTCTGCCGGCAGTTTCGCTGAGTCCCCAGCAGTGTCCCGACAGGTGGGGACCAGCACGCAGAGGGGAAGCTAGGCTCTGCAGATACGCAGAGCCTGACAGGGAGATGAGAAAGGAAAGAAAAAGATCCCAGTGCTCCTAAGATGCCGCCGTCCCCCTCGTTTTATTCTGAACATTACCCGGAGATCAGCAGTGATACCTAGGCCTGTCCGCTGGGGAAACGACATGAGCAGCAAACAGCCAGGCTGAAGGAGCCCTGTGAAGAGGAGACTGGCGCGTACCAGGCCGGAGCCAGCGTGAAGCAGGGGGATAGGCCTGGCCGGGCAGCAGGCTCAGCGCGCGTGCCAGAGGATGGAGGGGGGAGGGTAACGACACGAGGGGAAGGCGACGACGGGAGCGTAGGGACGAGAGGAGGACGGAGAAGACAGGCGGCGGCCCTGTCCCAGTGTGTGGGGTCGGCCTGTGTGCTCAGGCGGTTGTGTGGCTCGGGGTCCGCCTCAGTGTTAACTGTGCGGGTTTCTGTCCAGCTGAGGAGATTCTTCTCGGAGAAAACAGCTGTTGTCAGAACACAAGGGGTAGCTCGCTGAGTGCCGGCTATGCAGCTGATTTTAATGCTGCTGATGTTGAAAGTTCCTAAATATTTAACGGTTTCTTTAATTTCTTGACTTGTGTAAGGCAGCGTGGCAGACTCCCAGGAATTAATGTCAGTAGTAAATGTGTGTGTGTGTGCGGGGGGAGTTTAGGATGCTGTATTTTGTCTTTTTAAGAAAAACTTTGTCAAAAAATTATATTTTAAAAACTGTCTGCAAAGCATGAAGAATAGGCTCTGCAGGGACTTCATCAGTGTGGACAGAAGTTGGCACTGTGGAGTGGTCTGTGTTCAGGATACTAGATGCCCTGAGGTTATCTGTATGGGCACAGACCAGAACTTGAAATTGGCCCTAAGGTGCCGAGAGACCAAAGTTGCATAGAGGCTGGCAGTGGCGGCGCCATGATGCAAATACAGGGGTTGATGAGGGCGTCGCTCAGCTGAGGCAGACGAAGCCCTGGGCGGAAGCAGGGCACGCTCCCGTCCCCACACCCCCGAGGGAGGCAGAGGCTTTCAGAGCTTTGGCAGACAAAGGTGGCTCAGTGCCAGGGCTGTGGACCCCCAAGGCCCACCCATGAGAGTGTTCCGTCAGAGGGACTCGGCAAGCAGAGAGAGCTGGCAGCAAGCCGAGCGGAGCCGTCCTCGGCCTCACGACAGCACGTCCCGTGGTGTTCTTTCTGGATGGCGTCATTCATCAGCAGGCTGACTCAGGGCTTTGAGTATGGAATGAATGCATCTTACCAGAACAGAGATGAGACGCACAGGCCTGGTGCTCACAGGTGCCTGGCTCCAGTAGCTCTCAGGACCGGTGCTATGCAGGTAAGACTGGCCTCTGACAAAGAAGAGTGGTTTCTGCTCCAACAAATGGTGGAGCATTTGTGGCGGCGTTTCAAGTCGGAAGTTTCTAAACACTTGTAAAAAGTAGGCGTTATTTCTTTCCCAGAATACTCAGTCATGTTAAAAAATGGTTCAAGCAGATGAAAGAGCAGAGCTGTGGGGAGCTTGCCCGCCTTTGTGTCACCACACTGAC